GGTTCCTTCAGCAGAGGGTGAGGGGTGAGGGGCACTGGACCTGCACTCTGTGAGTGAAGGGGACAGGGGGAGCTCCAATTTTCCATGCTAAAAAACCCCAAATCAAATACCAAACTGTACAGGTACGTAGAATTTATTTTATTACAGAGATTGCGGCACTGGCAGGCTTCCAAATTGCTTTTAAAATGTCAATACATCAAGAACGCATTGTGTTCAACTGAGACCTCTCTCTCTATTTAGAGGCCTTTCATTTTAATCACGGGTCTGGGTTTTTATCAGAGAATTTGCGATTTTTTATGAGGAGAAACCAGGATCCCTGGTGATCTCTGCCAGGGCTCACGACGGGCCTTGAAGTGACTTCAGTCGTCCTTGAGCCACCGACCCGCCTACAGACATTGCACTCGCACTCTCTCACACACACACCCCGTACACGTGCCCCGCCACACGCACACTTTTGCTCCTTGCACTAATGCGCACACACGTGCATCCACACACAAACGTGCACGAGCAGCCAGCTACACACACACATGCTCTCCTCTGCACACACACATGCGCGCGCACACCCCACCCCTCCCCAGGGACCAGGCCGAGCCAGCTCTGATATCAAAGAAATGTTTAATAAGCCGCAGTAAAGTCGGGCCCTTTCGGAAGGCCCCGGGGCAGAGATCAATGAGGGAGGGACAAAAAGAAAACCGACCGGGGGCAGGGACCCTCGAGGAGACCCATCGGCTGCTGCGGTCCCTTGCACCCATGACCAAGACATGTCCTGGCTGCACGAGCGGACGGGCCTCGGGCTCCCACCGTGCCGCGGCGCAGAGGCCGGGTGCCGTCGCCCTGGCACACGCGCAGCAGCACCGGTGGTTTTAAAGCAACTTAATATAACTTTATTCTTTCCGTATGTACACGGTCCAAGGTTCTCCAGGTGAGGTATGTAAACATCAGCTAATGCCAACCTCGCGCCCAGCCCACGCCTCGCGGCAGGCGCCGACAACTCCTGCTACCCACAACGGAAACGCGGCCCCGCGAGCGCGGCCTTCGTGCGCGTTGCCGGGCTCAGACGTACAGTACCAGCCAGGGCAGCGCGGCCCGACGGCTTCTCAGAGCAGCGTCTATGGATCCGGGACAAGCGCCCAGCACGCGGGCCCGGGCCCAGCGCCTCGGGGCGGGGGACAGTGATTATGAACAAGGAACGAAGACGTTCAAAGCTGCCAGACGCCTTCCAGGGGACACGGCTACGGACATGCCCCGGGGGGAGGAGGAGAGGGCCGGGCTGGGGCGCGAGGGGCCCGTGGGACAGGGAGCGGGCGCTGGGCACCCTGTAACTCAGCTGAGCCAATGCAACAAGTCTGGCCCTAGGCACGCGGCCCAGGGTGGAGGGTGCGGGGGTGCACCGTCAGGATGGGGCTGACCTAGCGACACACCGAGCGCCAAGAGGGTTGGGGGCAGGGGAAAACTCAAACACACGTATAAATACGAAAGAAACACCCCCTAAAACTCCTAGATGTATCCTACGAATGCAGAGCTGCTGTGTGGGGCTGGAGCCATGCTGGGAGCCCGCAGGGAGGCTCAGCTCTGCCCGAGAGCGATACGGACAGAAAGCACGGGGTGAAGGGGTCTCACACGGCAGCGTGCCCGTCACTGCTGTCCTATGCCAGTCGCGGAGGGGTTTCCTGAGAGCCGCAGCAGCTACCCCCATGCCCGCGTGGGCTTTGGCAGACGGTGAGAAAGCCCGGCCGACTGCCAGCGTCCCCCTTGCCCTCCCCAGCCCCAGCCTGTCACCTGTACAGCTCCTAGCAAAGGACCCACCGGTGCCCCAAGACACGACACGGCTCCAGGGTCACAGGCGAGCTCCCCAACCCTCCCAACCTCCCTGGGGACACGTAATGCCTAAAAAGCTTATTGCTTGCAGTGCTGTACCCCCTGCCGGCACCTGGGTCATGCAGGCCGGGGCCGACACAACAGCGTCCACCTACGGCTGTATGGGGGGGAAGGAAGGAAGGAGATGGAGAAAAAACACTTAATGCTTCCAACTTCACTGCAATATTGAACACAGACCCCTCCCCAACCAACCACCCAGAGCCCCCAGCAGCGCACCAGCCTGCGGGGTGGGGGGCACCAAGCCCGCCCTGCAGCAAGGGACCACCCCCACCCCCCCGCTTGCAGGAAGTACATGAAATAAATATAAAAACCCTATTTACAATATTAGTTTGTGGTGAGCAAAAAATGCCTGATCCCGCCGGCAGCTTAAAAGGTAGGTCAGCGCGTGGCTGGCGAACTCAACGCTATATTACACGGCACCGATATATATATAGATAGACGGAGATATTCACATTTCCATTGAGGATCTGGGACGCGGACACACAGACGCCTACAACACCAGCAGGATGGGGGGGAGGCTGGGCGGGCGCCCGCCTCGCGCAGCTGGACGACACGTCTCCAGGCCGCCGGGGCCCAGACCTGCCCCGGGCCCACGCCACTGTGAAGCCGAGGGGCGATCGTAACACCCACGAAGCCTCCTGAGAACATCTTAGAACAGATGGATCCATTTCACAGCCACCAAGGGAGAGGATGGGCGAGCAGCAGCCGCAGGGAAGCAGAGGGGCAGCCGCGCCGACCTCAGGACCGAAGCAGGGTGGCGAAGCTGGGATGTGTGTGAGCAGAGGATGCCCACCACCCCAAGCTTTGCACCCACATGACCCCCTTCCCCGATGAGCTGATGGGCCCAGGGGAGACTGGCACATGCAGCGCAGCGAGCCCATACCCCTGCCAGGAGAGCTGAGGCGGGGCAATTCCCTAATAGCACCAGCATCAGGTACAAATGGGCTGGACAACCGTGCCCCCATCACCATGCATGCCACCCCCTGCCCACTGAGGGCTGCTGATGGCAGCAGGGAGGCCGGGGGAGGACACGTTGCTGCCAACAGAGCTGAGCTCCACGGCCGTGGGAGCAGGGTGCGGGGAAGCCGGGGGTCCCAGCTGCAGGGATTTGGATGGGTTGCAGATGAGGGAGCTGCAGGGATCTCTGTTGCAAGAGCACCAGGCTGTGCAGGGAGGGTACGGGCAGCAGCCAGGCATGGAGGAAGGGCCACGCCATGCCCGTGGCAGACTGGGAGCTCACATACACGCAGCCATGTGATGGCAGGGTGAGGCCCGCAGCATGCAGCAAGTACATTGCTTATCACCATTGCTACCCGCCAACATGCCCCACGCCAACCCCCTGGCTCCGCACGGGCACCCCCTGCCAGCACCACCCCGTGCTGCCCGGGGCACAGCCCGGAGCAAAGCAGCGGGCGCACGCATCCCCGACAAGGGACCGCAGGCTCCGCAGCACGGGTCTCGGCGCGCCCGTGCCAGGCTGGCACGTGTTGCTCGCCGCTTGTGGCCACACGAGGGAAGGAGCCAGCACGTGAACAACAAGGGAATGGTGCGAGGGGAAGGACAAGGCTCAAACACCCAAGCCTGGATGGAGAGACCAGCGCTGCCCAGGCATGCGTGTCTTCTGAACGCATTAGAAAACGAAGGCCCCCTGCCCTGGCCCCCCAAAATGGTGATGATAAAACAGGTGTCAAATGTGCCTGGCACCTGGAGGCTGGTCCTGGCATCGGGAAGCCCTAGGGCGGCAGCAGGCGCCGACATGGCATTGCCCCCCAATATGCATGCAGGTCCCAGGAACAGCAAGCGGGGGGCACATAATGCCCATGGCAAGGGAGATGGGGTGGGAGGGGAAGGAGGCTTGAACTTGGCCCAGGAAGGTCATGGCCAAGGAGCAGCTTAGCAAGGAGAGACGAGCAGTGGGCAAAGGGTGAAGAAAGAAACTGAAACCAAGCCATGGGTCTGGCTTTTGGCCTGGGAAGCGAGAGCCCCAGCTCGCTCTCACCCACCATCCCACGGAAAATGCACTTGGCGCCCACCGCACGTGCGGCACGGGGCAGCTCCAGGTCTCCCTGCCAGGTCACGCGAGGTCTCCCCATGCGGGGAGACCTGGGGTGCAGCGAGCGCCTCTCCAGCCCTGGCCGGAGACATGCATGAGGGTCACAGCCGTGCAACCTGCCGTGACAAACAGGGCTTGCCACGTGGCTCCAACCGCTCCCTGGGGCTCTGCCCGCGGCAGCACGAGCTCCTGAGCTGGCACCTGCCAGGGGCTGCGAGCACCAGGCTCCTTGGGGAGGGACAGAGGAAGATTTTAATTCTCCTCATGCATTTCCAGACCCTGCCATGCCTGGGGGGACATGTGCAGGGGGCATGACCAGCCCCACTGGCTTGGGGCATCAGGCCTTGGCCCTGCAGCGCCTGGAGGTCTGGAAAGCCCACTGTGGCTCCTTTCGCAGAGCTGTGCCCCAGGGCCGCAGGGAGAAACCAGACCGGGCCGTGCCCAGCAGCCGGCGGCTGTGACGCCTCACTGGGAACAGACCCTCCTTTCCAGGGAAACGTGCACAGCGCGGGGGACATACCTGGGGGTGCAGGGTCTTGGAGTGAGACCACTACATGGCTCACATGCACCCAAGTCTCTCAAGGGCATGCACATCAGTGGGAGACTTCACTGGGGGCCAGTGGGGCCTCCCGGGTCAGGAAAAGACCCCGTTTCTTCCTGAGCACAGCCCAGATGGGAGGAAGATCCTAAGGTTCAGAGTAAAGACAGAGCTAAGAGCAATCAGCCCAGTCCTCCATCAGCAATTATTCCCATGCCCCCACTGCCGGCAAACTCCTAGTGCTCTCTCGTGGGCTCCTGAAACACCAAAGCTGGAGCTAATGGCAGAGGGACTCGAGGGGGCCGCCCAGGCAGAGCCCGCGGACACCAGCATGATTCAAAGGGTAGGGAAAAGCTTTGTAGACACCAGTGATTTTAGGCGAGGGGAACAGTCCGCCTTGCAGCCGCGGGCGAGGGGCTGGAGGAAGGGAACGTCCGATGCAAGCCACGCTCTCCGGCCCCCCGCCCATCCTCTGCAGAAGGCAGCACAACGAGATGTGGAGATGACGGCCCAGGCTGCGCCTCCAGCCCACAAGCCGGGCAGCAGCACACGGAGGCCTGTTTGGAGCCGGGCGGTGCACACGGAGCCCTGCGGGCATTTACCGCCAGCCGGGGCAGCTCCACGAACAGCGTTTAAAGAGGGCGGGAGCTGCGGCCCCTTCGCACTTTGGATCTCAGGTGCGGTGGCGGCCCGTGGAAATTTGTGCAAACAGCCCCAGCGAAGCCTCAACCCCTCCCACCTTTAGGCTCCCGGCGGAGCTGGAGCCCTGCAGACACTCCCGCAAGGGTCGACGAGCCCTGCAGACGCTCGTGCCCGGGGTAACGCCTGCGTCCAGGGGCTGCAGCGGGAATATGTTTCTGGGCCTTGCTACAGGGTTTCTGGCGTGGATCCGCTGTCGCTTGCCGCAGATCTCCAGCGGAGACTATTGCTTGGCCTTTAAACAGTGCCGGGCTCTGCTGAGAGCATGCACAGCCGGGGACAGCCAGCCCCTCCGGTGTGCTCCAGCACCCCAGGCACGAGCAGGACCACCCACCCAGCCCCTCTCTGCATATTAAAAAAGGAACCTGAAATGAATTCATTAGAAACAAAAAGCAGACGCTCGGCCTCAGCCACATCCAGAGCCCACAGACGGCCTGGCCTCAGAGCCCGGGTGGGGAGAGAGTCCCAGGAGACGGGTGGCCAGGAAGGATCTGGCCTCGGAGCTGCTGACCGAGAGACCCTGTGCCAGGAGCCCCTTCCCCACATCAGGCTTCCCCTGCCAGTGGCCCAGGACCCACCTGCCCTGCCTCGCAGCCGGACGATGCTTTGGATTTTGCTTGAAACGCCCCAACAGGCGGCTGGGCGCGCGGGCCCACGGAGAGGCGGCCGAAAGCTATTTATGTGCGTGGAGGTGGTTTCCTTCCTGCTACAGAACAAGTGCGTGTGCATCAAGTATAAAATGCAAGCCTTCCTATCGCACAGACTGCGGGGGGAGGGGGCTCTTTCAGTGATAAATAAGGCACTGTGCTTTGAACTAAAACTGCCCGTTCCGCGTGGAAGCCCCGGGACCCGTCCCGCCGCGGAGACGGGCCGCGCTCCTCTCCCTCCGAGATGCGTCTCCGATGCCCGAAGCCGGGGGCGTTCTCCTTCCGCTGCGGATGTTCAGGCTTGCTACAGCTTATCAAGCAGCTTTAGTTAATGCGGGATACAGGGTTGCTACTGTACAGCAGTTCTTGCCGCGGTCGCGGCCGCCACGGCGCGGGGCTATTTCGTGTCTAGCCGCGTTCGCTTGCTGTGCGAACAGTCCCCTTTCGCCCTCAGCTTTCTCTTGCCCTGGGACCCGGCGCCCTCCTGGCTCTTCTTCATGGCCCGGGTCAGGGTTTTCCCACCGCTGGGCTTCTTGCTGGACCCCTTCTGGGACCTGGTGGAGGGCTCCCCGGCTGGCACCTGCTTGGGGGACCTGGCCAGGCCCTCGTGCCCGGGCGCTGCCCGTCTGCTGGTGTTCTCCTTGCCCTTGTGTGTGGAGAGCCGGCTTTTCGCCAGAGGCCTCTTCAGGGCTCTCTTCTCCTTCGGCAGCCCCTTTTTCTCCAGCTTATTGCTTCTTTCCGCTGCTGCCTGCTTCCTGGTGGCGGGCGCCTTGGTGGGCATCTCCACGTGCTTGGCTTTGCCGGCCTTCTTGGCGGGGAGCCGGTCTCTGCTGGAGGAGCCAGGCCTCTCCTGGGCACCGCTGCCCTCGCTCGGCGGCTTCTTCTTCCTGCCCAGCTGCGGGTCGGCCTTGGCCGGGGCGTCGTCCGCGGGCTGCCCCTTCCCCTTGCGCCCCTTCAGTGCTCTGTATGCCGGCGCTGGCTTGGGGAACGCGTCCGCTTTGACCTGCAAGGCCAGCTTGGGGGACATCAGCGGGTTGATGCACACGCTCTTCCGGCTCTTGCTCTCCAGGACGGGGGGCTCCGGGGCCCCATCCCCCTTCTTCTCGGGCTTCAGCGCCCGGTGCTGGGCTCGGAGCTTGCCCCGCAGCTGGGAGTACTTGCGCAGGATGCGCGTGCTGGCCTGCGTTGGCAGGCTGGGGGCCGGCGGCGTGCTGCGGGGCTCGCTGGCCGCGTCGCAGCGGGCTTCAGCGGGCGGCGCCGGGGCAGGACTGGCATCTGCTGTGGCCTCCATCCTGTCGGTGCTTTCCCGCAACTTGGCCAGCAGCTTCTGGTTCTTGGGGTTGTTCCTGGCAGGCGTGGTGGCCGGAAACTTCTTGAGGTGCTTTTTCAGGCGCTCGGCTTGCAGGGAGCTGGGGTACGGCCCGGGCATGGGGAACTTCTGCAGGGGCGGCTTGATGGTGGGCAGCTCCCCGGGCAGCCGGGTGTTCAGCTTCTTGACGATGACGAGGGAGCGGGTTTCGGTCGTCTCCAGGAACCAGCGGCAGATGTCGGAGAGCTGGAACGCCTTCATGAACAGCATCTGCACCGGCGAGAGCTTCTGCCCCTCCAGCGGCCCCCGGCTCTTACGCGTCCGCTTCTTGCTCTTCCAGATTTCCTTGAGCTTGTCAGCCCGGTTCCTGGCTTTGGGGGCCGGCTGCACCTCTCTCTCCAGCTGGATCCAGCCCTTCTGGACCTTCAGGTAGTGGGTGTTGAACTCGGCAATGAGCTCCTGGTTCTCCTCCTCGGAGCACCACTCCACGAACCGCGGCTTGCCATCTCCTGGCGCGTCCCCTTCCAGCGACTCTTCAGCCCTGGCGCTGCCCTCTGCCCTCGGTGGCGAGGGACTGGCTTGCACAGCCTCCTTCCCCAGGGTGCTCTTCTTCGCCGCCTCGCTGGGGACTGGGGTGTGCCGAAGGTTGTACGAAGGCGGGGCCTGCCGGCGCAGCTTTGCGGGCTTGGATGGAGCGTGCTTGCTTCCGCCCCTGCTGCCAGGGCCAGCAGGTGAATTGCTGGCCAGATCCCCAGGCTGCCCCTTGCCAGCATCTGAGGAGGTCTCAGGGTCTTGCCCAGCATCTGCAGCTGCCTCCCGGGGCTCTGCTGCCGGCTGCTTGGCTTCTACCTCCGCCCCCGGGCCACTGTCCTTCGGGAGGAGGACGCTCCGCTTATCCGAACTGGCCTCCACGCAGATTTCCAGCATGTCTCCAGAGACGCTGGGGCTGCCTGGGGCGGGGGAGGCTCCCTTCCCCGGGGGCCCTTGTCCTTCAGCTGCCGCCGCCTCCTTGGCCAGCAGGCTTTTGTAGGTCTGCCGAGTGGTGACGCCGTTCTCCTTGCCCGCCGGCAGCTCTGCGGCCATCTCAGTGCCCTCGAGCAGCGCGGGATGGAAGCAGTCATTGGGGAAGTGCACGGGCGCCGTGCCCGCCAGGTGCACCTCCCTCTTGAAGCGCTTTGCCCCGGGACTCTTGGAGAGCTTGATCTGAAGGCAGGGCAGCTGCAGGGACGCGAGGGAGCCGGGAGCCTCAGCGCTGCCCTCAGTGCCCGGCGCGGCGTGCTGGCTCCGGAGGCAGCGGTCGGAGGCCACGAGGGCCCTCCGGCTTTTCTTCCTCTTCTTGTCCGAGTTCTCGCAGGGGGAGACGGGCTCCCTGCCGTCTGCCCCCGAGGCCTCAGGGCTAGGCGGCGTTGGGATGGGGTCCTCACCCGGCTGGCTCTCGCCTGGCGCTGGCTCCCCTTCCGGGCTCTCCCCGAGGTCTGCGGGGCCTGGCTCGGCCTCCCCCCGTGCCTGCGGGCTGCTGCCCGGTGCCCCAGAGACGGCGGCTTCCAGGGCGGCAGCATCGCTCTCGCTCCCGGCACCCGGCGGTGGAGAAGGGGAGCGCTCCGGCGCTGGGCTGGCCGCGGGCTGCACGGGGGACTCGTGGCCCACGCTGGCAGCGGGGGCTTCGGGGGCCTCTGCTGCTGGGCTGGCCGGAGGCTCAGCTGGAAGCTCCTGGTCTGCAGCAGCGGGGGTCTCTGGAGGAAGCTCTGTGGAGGGCCCCACATCCCCCCTGTC